CGAAGCGGCAAGCAACGATGGGTTGTGCTCCATCGATTTCAAGCGCATGGTGCTGTAGCACATGTGGTCGCGAGTGCCTAACTCAGGCAGGCCTAGTGATCCATGAGCAAGGCCACTCGGGACCACTACCGAAGCGACGACGGGTCCTGCAGAGAACCTGGGCAGAACCAGCGCAACCTTTGTAGATACACTGCATTCGAGTTACTAACCGCGTGTTTGCATGCTAAGTCTCTTTATCTCAGGTGGTGGGTTTGCATTTTTGTCCTAATGCTTTTCTTTCTCATTTTTATTTTTACCGTTACTCTGTCCTATAAATTTGCACACGTCGCTTAAGCCAATTGTAGTTAATTTGGATAACATTTTCGTGTTTGTGGCATTTTTCGTAAAATGTACTTTCTGACCTCGTGAACTTATCTATGATCCTTTGCTATAAACTTGCTTTGTATGCTTATTAATTTTAAATTTTTGTGACGTTTCCTTATGCAGTACTCGATTTATTTTCTTTGTTACCTTTCTCTCCACTAGTTGGCTGTTGCCTGATATCCCCGGTGTGGCTGAGCTTGATGTGCATGTTGACAAGGTGCCTATCTGTCTGTTACCCACTACCTCGTCCATACTGACTCTAGGAGACAGTTGGTCGTTGCTGGAGGGTACGGGGTGCACGGTTCTTGTGGCCGAGTTAAGATCAAAAAGTTTTTCCATGCACTCAGTGTGGAGCGGACTATGGTCCAGCCACCGCCTTGTGTGCACTTGATTCCCCAAATACAGCGTGCTGGTGTTTGCCTGTGAATGATTGTGGGCCGGCTCCGTTGATGAAACGTGGCTCCCATCCACCTGCCTCCCGGTCTTATTCCTTCGGGTTTACCCTGGATATGCGGTTTGTGGTTGGAGCTGTGGGTGGTGCAGCGCAAGCCAACCATGGTCCCTCTGTAGGCGCGGGCGTCCTGTGGCTGGCCATAGTAACAGGCAAATCCGAAACCGTATGCCGCCCACCATATATACATATATATATATATATATGTATATGTATATATATATATATTAGTTTCGAGATGAAATCACTTCTATCCATTAAGACTATCCCAATTCCCTTATCTGGCTTGCAGATGACTATGTCGTTGTTGTATTTTTAACTCTCTCAGTGAGTTCAAATTTTTACGAGTCTTCAGGCCGCGTTGACTCAATTTGTGGTTTCGATATTGGTAATAGCAATTGACCATCGAGGACTTGAAACATTCTAGAGCATCAGTTGCTAACGTGACTAAATATTTCGTTTTTGCTAACAGGTTTTCAAAGTGGGTCTCTGTATCTAGCTGACGTTCGTTCCTTTAGGGTCACGCGTAAAGGAGCATAGCCCTAAATGGTTGTTGCACGGGGGCACGGGAGTGCTTACAAGCGGTGTTTTGTCTCATCTTTTCGAATTAGATCATCAGATTAACTTACCGAATGTCTTCACTGTGATTTATCAGGTTCCAATGAGCAAATCGAAAGGTACGCCTTTAAGGATGCTCGCCACTGCAGAGGCCATTGCGATCCGCATATTCCAACCCCCACTGTGTTCGCAGAAAATGTTTGTTCAATCTCTATACCTGCGCTGACCGAACAGCCATCAGCCTAGCCGTCACTCTGACATCGGCTCAGGCATTGTGATTACGTAACCCTCAATCGTTCTGTGTGCGTGAGACAGCGACGAACTATTCGCTGTCTAACCATTGACCGAGTCAGTTCAGACCAAAACCCCGAACCAAACACTATCCGTCCCTTTGTAATTTAACCTTATATGATTGTAACGGCCAGTAGATGAATCATTGAAAACAAGTGTTTGCCTCAAACTGATGTTCTTAGTAATTCACTGAGAATGTTCCTTTACAGATATATATATATATATATATATGTATATATGGTGGGCGGCATACGGTTTCGGATTTGCCTGTTACTATGGCCAGCCACAGGACGCCCGCGCCTACAGAGGGACCATGGTTGGCTTGCGCTGCACCACCCACAGCTCCAACCACAAACCGCATATCCAGGGTAAACCCGAAGGAATAAGACCGGGAGGCAGGTGGATGGGAGCTACGTTTCATCAACGGAGCCGGCCCACAATCATTCACAGGCAAACACCAGCACGCTGTATTTGGGGAATCAAGTGCACACAAGGCGGTGGCTGGACCATAGTCCGCTCCACACTGAGTGCATGGAAAAACTTTTTGATCTTAACTCGGCCACAAGAACCATGCACCCCGTACCCTCCAGCAACGACCAACTGTCTCCTAGAGTCAGTATGGACGAGGTAGTGGGTAACAGACAGATAGGCACCTTGTCAACATGCACATCAAGCGCAACCACACCGGGGATATCAAGTAACAGCCAATCACTTGAAACGATAACATGAAATAAGATAAATCCAATAATGCACACAGATACGGTGGTACAACTCTTCGCTATATCAGCATATGATATATGTTGGTTAGCAATGAGTCCGCAATAAAGAAACTTTGTCCACAAGTTACTTAGAAATGCTACAAACGCAACAAGCTTACCGAAGATAAGCCTAATTAGCGTAAGCAACGTGGCCAGTTAATAGAAGTTTATTCAGGTAAGCAAAACAAACCAAATAAATTGGAATGAAATTTATCTAGCTTATAAATACATAGTTTAAGTGTAAGTTGGTTTAGCCAAACTGCGGTGAAGAAGCATCAAGTATGCAACATCGGCCTCAGCATGGGGTATATATATATGGGGTATATATATATATATATATATATATATATATATATATATATGCGACAGAGCCATCAAAACTCGTGGAATTCGGAAGATGACATGGTTGTTATGAGAAGGGGATCCAACACAGGATGGATAGGCTCAACTTTCCTTCACAGTACATGATGTTCCGCGGTGGTCTAAGACGTATTCGAGAGTTCTGCCAACGGGACTCATTCCCGAGCATTTAGATGAATAGCCTAATTGCCAACCAGTAAAGCGAATTCAGGGAATCCCACGCCTTGAGAGCCGGTGGCTAAACGCTTGCTTCATAACCGTTCGTTCGGTCTGTTACAAAACAGGGTCCCAACCATCCCCACTTTTACAACACCAGCCTACTGGAATATAATAGATAGAAATTTGTCATATCTAAACTCATTCAGACAGCCATCAAACGCCCGGAAATGCACTGTACGCGCAATTCCTCCTTTCGGGAATCGTCAACCGTGCGCGTTCTGTTTTACCATGGTAGGGCTTGAACCCGCAACTCGACTGTTGCCATTTCGCCCTTGAGACCACTGAGCTACGGGGGAAGACGATGTCCATCGTAAATAATTTACTAGATGTGTTATAGCGCCGCACACCATCCACTGACTTGCACGTTACTGTGCTGCAGAGGACAGGGTAGCGCTATAACACATCTAGTAACTTATTTACGATGGACGTCGTCGTCTCCCATAACTCAGTGGTCTCAAGCACGGACTAGCAACCGTCGAGTATCGGGTTTAAGCCCTACAATGGTCCGATGGAATGCGCGCTGCTGACGATTCCCGAAAGGATGAAACGCGCGTACAGGGCTTTTCCGGGCGTGTGACGGCTGTCTGAATGAGTTTAGATGTGACGAATTTCTACTTATACCACACAATTTCCCCTACTACTCCACTGGAATACAATAATTCACCAGTGTGAATGGAGGTGCAGTTACTTTATGTAGTGGCGAGTCACATCGGCCAGGTTGCTGTTTTATTTGACAGACGTGTGCGAATTATTATAGTGAGAGCAACTTCCAGGCGAAAACACACCAAGTCCTGGAACACTGCCGCGAATTATTTGCTGGGACGAAGTTAACCCGAACGACCCAATTGGTTACACGTAGAGGTTGTACGGACAACCAACTTGTGAGTATCTTTAAGTGATTTCATCACAGTCTAGCGTTCAGCACTTGGAAATTGTGTTCAGTGAGGGAAGACTGCGATTGACAACCTGGTAGAAATACAACGAAGTCCGACCATTTCAAGTTTCGTGTAGTGCATAGCTTGTGAACTGCCACCGCGTGTTGAGTAATAGGGTTTCAAGCTAAACGTGCGACTTGTAAAGACTGGCTAACTCGCGTTCCTTTCAGGAGTGTTGTGCAATCAGCTAACGGGCAACATTCCCTTTGTCAACGCCTGCTTGGTGATGAAACACGGGAACGAGGTCTGTGGGGAATATATGCAGATATGACAGTTGCAATGCGGATGCATCTACTGCACAGACATTCGGACATGACGGTAATAGGTATACTACTTTATCCTAAGAATGCTGGTAAATCTTCAGGAGTAGATTTGCAAAGTTGTATAGTTGTATGTGGAAATTTCAGCTGGAACACTGTGAATAATGGTAAGGGGATTGAGGTAAGACAAGAAGAAAATTATTCAATTGATTCTCTACCGGATAGAGCGAGTAAATCCAAGTCGAATAAGTGAAATGTAGGTGATCTGCGCTATGTCGGTAAATCCAAGAGCAAATGGTGAGTCCTAATTGCGCGACCACACAGCTAGTCTAAAAGCGTAATGGTTTGGTCAGAAATAGCCCGAAATACTTGCAGCGTGAGTTGGCTGTTCGGTTGTTGTGATCCACCGATATATACCTATTGCAAAAGACACGCCATCATTCACCGTGACATTACAAGTGCTGTCGAGCAGAAGAATTTATTACACAACAATCCTACACCACAACAATTGATAGAGGCTCTAATTTATGAGAGATTGATGAGGTTGTACATCTAGCTCATAATTCACTTGATGATTAGAGCGATGCACAACGCTTGCAATGCACAAAATTGCTCGGCAGTAACCGCTTTATTCCACTGGTCTCTATTCAGTTGTATTTCTTATGCGGACGACAGGTTACATTAGGCTTAACAGGCAGATTAGACTCAAACAAGGGAGAATGAATAGCAGCAGTTAAAAAGTTTTGATGGCAACCAGCAGCATTTGGCTAATGTAATAATAATATTATAACGGGCATCTACTTACGGTGGATCGGTTGCAGAAAGGAAAGAAGTTTTCTGGTTTAGTTTTCAAGGTAGATAGGGCCCAGTCCATCATATCCTCACTAAGATCCACCGTATTCAGCATAATTTGCATGATGCATGCCAAGCTCCATACGTCACTCCGACTCGTGTACTGAAACATTTCCAGTTCTGGTGCACACCATTTCGTATGTATTGCTGAAAACATAAGTCATAGAAATCTGACGGAACAAGACATTTCTAGCCAGGGAAAAATTACTGCAGACATTGAAAGCGACAGCCAGACGTTTTAATGAGCAAGCAATGACAAAAGAAGTACAAGGTGCGGTCACGCATTAAATATCTCTTGTCCCCAAATACCTCCTTCATGTACATGCTGTTGTTTAATGGGTTAAAATAAGTACTCGATATCCGGAAGAAGTTTGTGACTTGCGGAATGGCGGGCATTGATGAACAAGTTGTACCTTTGTGTCTTTCACTGCACGGGCACGAAGCACTATAAATGCGTGCATAAAGCCCGCAGTTGTATACATGTCCTCGATCACCGGTTGATAAGGAGAAATGAGAACCTATATCTTTGAACGCAAATTCATGTCAAGCAGTGATTTTCGTTCAGGCAACGAAAGCAATATTGCCATAGGTGAAGTATTCATACATAAACCAAGACAACAGTTAATCACGTTCTGGAACTGCGCCCTTGCCATATGTGCCGTTTCTACAGCATCGGATGCACTATTAAGGATATGAAAAAATAAGTGGTCGTTTAATCGGGAAAGAGATAAATAAAGCCGAGTAAAATAAATAAATAGAGGGCATCTTCCGTATCATCAACCGCCATCTCAGCTAAGCCATACAGCACATACAACACATTTTACACGTCGATGCCCAAATTTAACCTCGGTGTAATCCGTGGACAAAATCCAGATAAACATGTGATCGAATAGATTAAATGTTTGCGAAAATTTGGATAATGGCTCTTGGGGTGCGACCCTTTAATTGTAAGCCTATGCATTCATTTCTAGTTATTCAGAAATACGAAAGGGGGTAGAGAAGTTCGTTGCATATGTGGCGCGGACGTCATCATATTCTGATAGTAAAATGTCGAAAGAAGTGAAGGTCGTTTATACCTGGTCCAGGGTTGCGGAGAAAGGGTATTCTTAGTTTCGCCATCGTTTACTTATACCGAGTGATTATTCTGTCATAGTATTTCTCTTCAGTGTTTCACTTAGTGTTCATCCTTATTCCTATTCATTCAAAGCTGAGCAAGTACTAGCATATATGACTTATATACGAGTTTGGAGTTCTGTATCGACCGGAATTGAAAATGCACATTATCAACGGATAGTTCCACTAACGGTTGCCGCTGGAAGACGGCAAGATAATATACAGAGAAGAAGCAGCGACCTCCCACTTTGCAACCGACATATATGTCATGACCATCGGTGAGTCACGAAGGAAAATTGTCAAAGGTGCGCCGCTAGATTAGCAATAAGGAACTTTCAGTTAGTATTTTATAAAACACACTCAGGCAATCAGGGAGTATCTCTAGCCATCTCCCATAAGGAAGGTGTTTAAGTCCATTGCTCAGCTTGGGGGCTATCCTTCGCGGGCCATCTTTCTGCGAAACAAGGAGGTGAAACTTGATGAAGCAGCTTGGGGCAAGCTAGGCGATCTGATCCTAGCCGGTTCCCACCCGGGTCCTCCATAACGCGGCTGAACCAGGCGGGCCCTTCAAATCCGGCCGTTGCTGTTCTCGTTGGCTTCTTTTACACCACAGACTGCGGATTCTATATTTTATTTTTAACTTTGGAGCAGTTTGTTTTTTTGATCAGGTCACAAGGTCAATGTTGTTCTACTCCGTCAACCATTTGAAAACGTTACGTGATATTGCCTTAAATCCGTGCCTTATCGATTACGGCCATAAAGTCACGAATACATGCAAAAGTATGACGAATAAATGTCTTGGAAAAAAGCGAAAGCATCGTGCTGGCTGGCAATCTGGCCTCAGTTGTTGTTTTGTCGACAAAACACAAGTTTCTCTGCTACTTTCCAGTAATGTTCGCTCACTCGTTGGTGAAACCAGTGAACTCAGTGCCATTATGCAGCGAAATCAGTATGTTAATACAGGAATTATTCTGTTACAAGGAAGCTGGTTGCACGCTGATGTGGAACATGAGATAATTCAACTCAATGGTTATTTTCCCAGCAGGTCTGGCCGCCCCGGGAAACTCCAGTTCCGTGGTGGTGGCGTTATAACTTATGTTAATCAACCTTGGTGCAACGCAGTAATCATAATATTTACGTCCTCAGCGCTTTCTATGAGCTGTCATTTAGTTGAGTACAAACCGAAGTTCCTAAGTGACTTTCGATCAGTAATCGTTGGAAATGTATACGTTGCTCCTGACACATCTGCCTCCGAGTTAAAGCTTTTTGAAGACCAACTTTCTTAAATGCTACTGCTTAAATTAGTTTGTTCAACCTGCGTTGTTGCTGGTGACTTCAATAGAAAGGATACAACATTCTTGAAAACACTTGGCTTGGTAGACCTAGTGACTGCTTCGACCAGACAAGATGCTCAGTTGGACGTTGTGTCCACAAATGATATTATTTATTTATTCACAGTCTGTTAGCAGACATTGTACCATCAGAACCATGGCAGAAGAAAAAAGTGAAGAAGATGGGAACATGAACTGCGATTAGAAAACGGGAAAATATTTTTTCGGTTTTACACACGCCATTTTGTTTTTTTGTTTTGTTTTGTGAGTTCTGTGTGCATCAAAGGGATGGCAAAATGGCAGGACAACATTGACGCCACTGATGTCTGTTGCGGGCCATGACGTCAAATGTTTCCAACCACTGCGATTCATCATCTCGTGGTCCCCAACCTGGAAGTCGGATTAGTCCGACTGCCGCCAAACTTGCGATTGCCTTCTTCATGCTCCTTCTCCACGTCATTGGCTGTCCACCGCGGCACTTTTTCCAATCGCTTCATGGGAGTGCAAATAGCGCTGGACGTGGAAGGTGATAGGCTGGCATGCGCAAAACGTGCCCGAACCAACGCATGCGATGTCGGAGAATAACCTCCTGAAGACTAGCACTATTCGCCCCAAGCACGCGGTCTCACACCTCTGCGTTGCGTACGTGGTGTTGCAACCACACCAGAGCAATCCTTCGTAGACAGAGATTGTCGAAGACTGACAGCCGCTTCATATCTTTCGACCGAATAGGCTAAGTCTCACAGCAGTACAAGAGTACTGCACGGACGGAAACATTGTACACATTGCCCTTGAGCTTGAGACTGACATCACGACAACGCCATAGGTGTCTAAATTTAATAAATACAAGGCGGGACTTCGCAATTCCTTGTGAGACTTCATCCCTAACACCACCACCAGCCGTGATGCAACTCCCTAGATAAGTAAAGTAAAGGACTTGCTCAAGAACATGTCCAGCAATGGTGAGCGCGGGTTCAGGCACCTGCCAGTCCTGGAGCAGCGTTTTACATATTCCCGGAATGAAACAAAAGCCGTACTTAGATGCCTCCATCGTCAAGCCGTCCAAAGCGCTCTGGACGGATTGTGGGTCGTCCCCCAGCAAAGCGATATCATCGGCGTAGTCTAAGTCCGTGCCTGTCTCCAGGAAGGAGCTCAACACCTCAGTTCTGGACACCTCCCAGTGCACTTTGGACAACACCTACAATGGCGAAATCGAGGAGGAAAGGTAAAATAAGGCAATCTTGGCGAACAAGGCTGATCACAGCAAATGAAGAAGAGAGCGTGCCGTAAGTCCTGATTTTGCCCGACGTGTGACTGTAAAGTTCTTTCAGGATGGTTACAATCTTGTCGGGCACACCTTTGTTCAGTAAACAGTTCCACAACGCAGATCTATCTACTGGATCAAATGCTGCTCGGATGTCCAAAACACTACGATTGTTGGCCGCCGGTGGATGCGACGAAGTTCGAGAAGTTGGCGAAGCGTAATGATTTGGTCGATGCAGCCGCAGCCTAGACGAAATTTGGCTTGATGTTCTAGGGAAAACTGTTTCTGGTCCTTGAAAGCCTGAGAATTAGGACCGACATGAAGATTTTGGGTGCGACAGAGATGAACGAGATTCCACGGTAGTTGCAGCAATCGACACGGGAGCCCTTCTTGTGAATCAGAACAATGATCGACTCTCCCATGCGTTCGGAACCTTCTCCTCAGTCCAAACTTCGTGAACAGCGATAGGATTTTGCTGACAAGTACACTCCTGCCATCTTTGAATACAGTTGGTGGTAGGCTGTCGGGACCCGGAGCGTTGTGGCGTTTCAAAGCTTGGGTTACATTTCTCATCTCCGCTCTATTTGGAGGGGATGTGGGTACAGGCCAAGCATCATACATTGGGGCTGGAGGTGTCACAGGGGCTGTGTTGGGTGGTTGAAAAGAAGAGCGAAATGCTCTGACCAGCGACCCAATCGTTCATGAAGGTTGATGAACTTCGTATCTTCTGATTCGCAAATCGTTTGGCTGATAGCGTGCAAATTGCAACCAGTGGCCCAGATGATGTAAAATAGACGGCGGAAGTTGCCAGCTGGTGCAATAGCTTCCATCTCATCAGCTTGTTTTGACCACAAAGATTCACCATCAGGGCGAAGGCTTGTTTTCAGTTGGTGCGTAATAGACCGGCGGTATTCGTTGTACTCTGTGCCAGCAGGCACCGCCCGTCAGCGATCCAGCAATTCCGAGGATCTTCCCGAGATCCAGCTTTTGCTAGTGGAGCGATTGAAGCTATAGTTGGACAAACCGGCCGACAACAAGGCTTGTTGCATACTTGACCAGTGTTGATCAACATTCAGAGTGTGAGAGAGAGTGAGATTTTCACGAAGCCTTCGTTGATCCTCTTTCTTCACCTTTGGGTCCTCCAAATTGTAGGTGTTCATTCGGGTGTGTTTTGACCTAAGCGAACCACCGAAACGCATGCAAACGGTCGCACATACCAATACATGATCGGTATCAACGCATGTTGACCAAAATAATCGGCAGTCACGTACGCTGCCGCGACACACGCGACTTATAGCTATGTGGTCAATCTGTGACCAGCGCTGCGTTGATGGTGGGGGGCGCCAAGTGGCGTACTGACGTGCAGGATGACGAAAGCTGGTGCTGGAGAGGAACAGTTGATGATCAGCACACAGACTGAGCAGTCTCTCTCCATCTGC